AAAATATGAGAAAAACAAACTCAAATAGAATACCTCAAAATTGAATAAGGCCTCATCAGGATGCCACATTTTCCATGACTCTTTTTGCTTTGGGAGTGTCATCGCTTTCATCATAAAATTCCAGCTCTTTTATGTCCATCATTAGTTGGATCAAGGCTCTAAATTTGGCACATTCTTGTACATCATGTCCATCTTCATTGTGATAACAGCAATGACTGCCACATTTGGAATCTGATATGCTAGGATGTGGTGCAAGAAACCCCACATTTATTATTTACCTCCATACCCAAGCAAGAGGTGTCTTCACTTCGAAAACTCTGATTTTGGCTTTTTTACCCATTTCCTCAATGATTGCACTTTCCTTATTCTCTTGATGATTAGATGGAGTGTTCTGTGTAACGTGAGGTGATTTTGAATTGTTAAAATGAATCCAACCCCTGTTGCGCATCCTTTGGATAACCCTCTTAAAGGGGAGGCAATTTTCAATAGCATGCCCCGGAATATCGCCATGATATTCACAGTGCGCATTTTTGTCATACCACCTGGGGTATAGGGGCTTTAGAGGTATCTCAGGATAGGGTGACACTACATGTATGTGAAACAATTGTTGGTAGAGCTCCTTGTATGTCCTGGGAATGGGATCGCAATGCTCATTTTCTCTCATTGGTTATTGCCTAGAAGAGGGTACAACTGTAAACGATTTTGAAATGTTGATGATCTCTCTTTCTTTCTTCTTCAAATGAGGCTTTCCATTCGTCATACCTCCTGGTTTAATGGTAATTTCTACCATCGTTGTTTTGACCTCTTCATCAAAATTCGAAATACGGTAACTATCTGAATTATCTGGTAAGATTCTGGGTTAGACAACCACTTGCGGGGTAGGTGGCATGGTTACCCCTTCCGATGAACCTGCCCCAGGAGCACTTGTCTGACGTAGGCCAGCTAACTTGGCTACGATTTGATCGACCAGGGACTCTTGGCCTTTCGTGATTACATCTAGGGTACTCTGGTTATTTTGATTTATCTTTTCTTCTAACTCTCTCTGGAGCTTCAACATGTTCTCTTCGATCTGAGTAATTTTGGCTTCCATCTTCTTTTCGGTTTTAATGAGGATGACACGTGTCCTAATCTTGTGGAGGTATGTCTAGTGTTTGTACCCTTTTTTTATGAAAATCTCTTGTTAGTTCATGTGAATGCCATGAAAAAAAGAAAATTATGCGAAATATGCAATAATGCATGATGTATAAAATGTTCGAGGCATTTATCCAAAAAAATGTGCATGTTATTCTGAATAATCCTTATTGGGGACAAAAATGTTACGTCTGAAGAGACAAAAAACTTTTTGATGGTATAGATCCCGCACAGCTTCTGACAAGTTGATTCGTCTTCCGCCTTTTTTCACCAGTTGAGTATCATGTCGAACCATTTTGGTTTGGTTAAACTTGTGCAGGTGACGAGCTACTTGCCCCAAAAAGGGTCTCGAAGGACTGCATCTCCGGCTTTCACTCTATGCCAAGCTTGTTCCAAACGAAAGTGCCATCGGAACCCTCAATCCGAAGTTTATCGACTTTTTTTCTAATATTTGTCAATAATGGTCTCCAACTTTGCTAGGGTTTCACCATCTTGTTCTCGTAGTTTTCAAAATGACTCTCCGGGTCAGTAACCTTTTCCTTGTCGTGCCCCTACAACATTTGCCTCTGAATATTCTTGGACCACGGCTGGGCTTGAGCTTTTTATCTCTTTGTATTATAACTTCTTTGTCCATTAATGCAAATTATTCATGTTTAACAAACACGTTTTGGTGGATCAACACCTTGTTTTAAATGATGCAAACGATGAAAACAAAATAAAAGAGAACAAAAATAAAAAGAGTTAGTGAGGTAAATCAAAACAATAATAAAAATGAAAAATCCTACCCCACATAATATCTACCCTACATGCTTATTATTCCTACCTGGACATGATCTCTATCCCGCATTCTAATTTCAAACAAATCCTAACCGCATATTTGTCTAGTTTACATGCTTTGAACAGAAAGTAAAAAAGGAAATAAAAATAGTCTAGGGTTTGGAATGAGGTTTTGGGGTAGGCTCTAATTCCTTGTACTCTCCCGGTTTAGGTTCTAAAAAAAGTACTCGAGTTCTGCTTGCCGGTGCCCCCTTGGGCTTGCCAGACCCTTAGTCCTAAGCCCATTACAAGCTCATGTGGACTAAGTTAAACTCGAGAGGATACATTCCCTTATGCTCGCACAGTGAATAAATTCACACGAAGATATAAGGTATATGAATCCCAAAGGTTACTTGCTAGGCCTGCACGGTGAATAAATTCACACGAATGCGTCACTTTCACCCCCACTTAAAATGGGTTTGGAGCTCAGGTTTAGAGCCTTAGATGAAAAAACAAGTTTTTACAAGCTGGAATCATTGAGAAAACCGTCAGTACAACTATTTATTCAAAAAAATAATCAAAGATAAATAATTGGAATCGAATAAATAAATTTAAATTTAAATTCACCATTTTCGCATAAAAAGACAACCGAAAATTAATTTCGGCCTAACTCACTTACCTGTCCCCAGCGGAGTCACCAAGCTGTCGCGGCCGTCTTTCGGTTGGGTCCGAAATTAGACTTCGACTTGAATTGATTGGGTTAGAGTCACCACCGACCATTTTAAAACGAATTTAGGTAGGTCAGACACCATCTTACCTGATCTGCGTTGTGCCAGAAACATGTTGAGTTCGGGAGTCGGTTACGGTCAAGGAAGGATTAGCACCCTTGAACCATCCTTTCGGTACCAATTAATTCGTCAGTTATCTTTATTTGCGAAAATTAAAAATTTAAATTGAAATTTAAAAATTCGGTTCGAATTGCTTACCTGTTGATCGATTGAAATTACCGCTGAAAATGTCGAAAAATGTTAGACAATAAAATAAAATAAAAAATAAATAAGAGTAAAAAAGGAATATATATATATATATATATATATATATATATATATATATATATATATATATATATATATATATATATATACACATGAATATAAGAATAAAATAAAAATAATTGGTAATGATAAACAAAAGTTAGTAGAAAATGAAATAGAAAATAATAATAAAAAAACAATAAGAATGTTAGTTTAAAAAAGGAAAAATGAATAAAAATAAAACAAAAAGGAAAAATATTAAAATAATATAATATATATATAATACAAAAAATAAATAAATAAAAAAACATAAAAATGAGTGACTTAGAATAATAGTAAAACAGGGGGTGAAATTAAAAGAATTCGAGATTAAATTGATAAAATTGGACCAAAATGAAAGCTTACAACGGAACGAGGGACTAAAAGGGAATTATCCCTTTTTATTCAGAAAACACGGATGGTGAGGGGGAAAACGACGTAGTTTTAATGCACCTCAAAATGACGTTGTTTCATCTGATACATATAAGCCCCAAAATAGGCTCAAACTCTCACATTTCTCTCATTTCTTCATTCCTGTTTTCTCTCTAAAATGAGAGAAACAAACTCTCTTCTCGCCTCTCTCTAAAGTGCTCAACCGGAGGGAGCCCGACCACCATGAAATGCCGCTACGGTGGCCGAAAAAACCAAAAACGCCTAAAAGGTTCCTCTCGATATCGTGAGCCTAAAAATCCGCTTAGTTTCCACTAAAAAACTCCCTAGACTCGTAGATCTAGGATTTACCTCTTGAAAATAAACCGTAAAATTGGTGACCTTTGCCGTTCCCGACTCTTCGCGCGACTGTGAGAACTCCTTTTGCTCTGATTTTCTTCCGATGGCTTGGTTGTATCTTATTTTGGCTTAAGTTTCGATCTAGTTTTGTTGTGTGGGTGGGTGATGTGTTCGATGATGTTGTTTATGGTCGCTGGTCTCTCGATGTGGTACTGAGATATTTCTCTGTGTTGATGATTGTTGTCTGTTCTGTGTTTCACTGTGGTTTTTCTCGATGATCGTGGGCTTACTGTTGATCCCCCCCTCCTGTGTTGTATGGTGGGGTATTTATACCCCCACCGGTACTGGTCAGTTCCGATGGCCATGGTAACAAACCCGTCGTTGGCCGAGGATTTTGGGATGGGTCAGTCCCGATTTCCTCGGTCAGAAATCTCGCGCCGTTGTGATTGTTGTCGTTGATGCTTCCTTGACTTGCGACGCTGGTGCTTGATCTTCGTAAGCAGGAAACCCTAGTGGGACAGGGATGGGTCAGGCCCATTTTATGGACTGCTTGGACCGTATTTTTGAAACTGGACAAACACCGAATAAAAAAGAAATAAAAAAAATAATAAAAATAATAAATAATATTCTATAAAAATATTTTAAAAACATATAATATATAAATTTAAAAAATGTTTTAAAAATTATATATTATATATTTTCAAAAATGTTTTAAAAACTATATATTATATATATTTTTAAAATGTTTTTAAAAATTATATAATGTATAAATGTTTTCAAAACTATGTATTATATAAGTTTTCAAAAACATTTTAAAAACTATATATTATATTTATTTTCAAAATGTTTTAAAAATTATATAATATATAAATGTTTTCAAACATTTTTTCAAAACCATATATTATATATATATTTTTAAAAACCATTTGCAAACTATATAATATATAGATATATATGAAATAAAAAATAAATAGACGAAAATGAGTGTCTACAATGAGATTTATTGATCAATTATTATAGATCAAGTTTTGTAGAGGTATGTTATAAGAACGATTCTCTTAATTTAATTTACTTTAATTGTAAATACAAGAATTAAATTCTTAACTTTATTTAAAGAATTTAATACTTTATTCTACTAAATAAATTGATTGTGAGTTATTAGGCTCGTTTTGTTATTGGTCTTTGGAGTAAAATACCTATCTTCATTCTTAACTCTTGGGCTACTCAATGTGGGCCCAATAATTTTGTTTACCCGAGTTGTGATTTATAAATACGTATATAATATAGGATTCCTAATTATTTTTTCCTTGAGCGGTGGGGAAGGTTAACCAGCCTCAGCCGCCCGTCTTAGTTCCAAGTCTAATTGAAACTTGACATCTTTCCCGAGTTTCACTAGCTAATTTCCGTTCTTCTATTTTTTGCAGTTTCGAGTTTCTGCAGTTGATTTTCTGTTGGAGCTGTTCGGTAGGTGAGACAATACAATTTGTGTCTCCACTTGAGACAATACGCTGAAACTGCTACTTTCTCCTCCTTTTTGTTGTATTCAATTTGTGTCTTCTTTTGTAGGAAAGATCCCCCCCTCCCTCAATCTTGTTTGATGTTTAAATTTAAAATGCCTGTAAATAACGTAAAGCTGGGTTTCTGTTTCTTGGTTTCGAGTAAACGAATAAGAAATGGTTGAAGGTTCTAGAATTTATAGTTTTTAAGCTTTGATTTCCTGGAAAAATTCCCTTGATGCGTTCAACTGGTTCCGAACCTACAATCTGAAGTTCATAATCCCGACTCCCTTCTTTTGTTTCTCAAAAACCGAGTTTAAAACTCTTTCAATGTTGTGTTTGAAAAAACTAGTTATTCATTCTAGTATTAAGCAGTTATGCTGGTGTGTGTTCAAGTCCGTGAAAATGAGGAAAATTAATTGCGACATACTTTGATGATAGTGCTGAATTAAATTTTATGAATTTTAGTCATCTGATATGATCCTGTTCAACCATTTTTTCTTTGTAGCATTAATCTTATATCTGAGTTTCTGAGGTGATCTATTGTGTGTAATTTGTAAAATGTGATTCACTGTAAGTGCTAAAAGATTTTATCATTTCTCTGAGTAGATAACTTGGATGGTTCTCTACTTTGTTTAGTGTGTTTTAAAATTTTCATGCTGGATGGTTAATACTCATGAAATTGATAAATGTGCTATGGAGTCCCTAATCCCTAATTTTTTGCCATGTTGAAATGTCTTGAAAACCAATTGATTGTTAGGTCGGGACCAATACTAAAGCTACTTTTTCTTTTGGTGTAAACCGTTCTTTGTTGTACAACTCTGTAAATATTAATATTTTAAAGACAAACAAGTCTTCTTCTTGATCGATGTGTAAATTTGGAAGATACATTGGCACATCTATTGGTTTTTACCTCACTATATCTGTTTGTTTTGGGATCTCCAATGTGAATTTATCTATAAGCGGTTTTACGGAATTCAGTTGCCTTAGACTGATTTGGTACCTAACTTGTCATGATCTCATGGTTCTTTCAGGTGATGGCTCCAAGTCAACCTAATACTGGCCTTTTGTAGGCTTGAACAGGGACACTCATTTTCGTCCGGAGATTTTATCGTATGATTTTTTTTTTTTTAAATATATAGTTTTTTTTAAATCGGTTTTTGAAAGTATATTATATAGTTTTGAAAATTATTTTTGAAAATATATATTATATGGTTTTGAAAATGATTTTTGAAAATATATATATATATATATATATATATATATATATATATTATAATTTTGAAAATTATTTTTGAAAATATATAATATATAGTTTTTGAAAATATTTTAAAAATATATAATATATAATTTTAAAAACATTTTGGAAAATAAATATAATATATATATATATATATATTTAAATAATATTATTTTTTTATTATTATTATTTTTATTATTTATTACTATTATTTTTTTAATTTCTTATTCATTTAATTTTATTTCTTTTTTTTTTCAGGTCCAGTAAAAGTCCAACAATGGGTCCAATGTTCGGGTCCAGCAGAAACCCAATCGGGTTTGGACCTGACCCAGCCCTAATCTGATTAGGGTTTCATGTCTAGTAAGAGGGCGCCACACAGTTAGGGAAACTGGGAGCCAGTCATGCGAAACGGCCGACCGAGACGTCCGGCCGAAGATCCCGGGATTTTAGCCAACAACGTTCACAGCTTGAAATAATCGGGAACGACCCCGTTGCCATCGGAAATATTCCCGTTGGGGGCTATATAAATACCACCGAGTGAACCACATCACAATCACGAAACAATAACGGAACCACAACCAATAGAGAACACAAAACCAACAGCAAGAGAGATACACAAAAAACCGAAGCAAACCACAACACAAAAGAAAGAAAATAAGCAACCAAAACCAAAAGCCAAGCAAAGAAACAAAAGTCAAATTGTTGGAGCATGTCGAGGGAGAGGAAGAGTCGTCGGTCGCCAAGAAAAACGAAAGAGGGTAAAAAAATCGAAACGTTTTGTTTAGATCTACGTCATTCAGGGTTTTTTAGGAAGTTTGGGTGTCAGCGGTGGCCGATTATCCCTTCGATGGAGGTTTTCTAGAGAGAGAAAGGAATTGAGAAAATGAAGCTTGAAGGCATGGGTCGGCTAAAAGGCTATTTATACCTTCTCCGAAACTATATCGTTTTGGGGAGGGGTTTATGTGTAATTTGTGAATGGGAAAATCACGTCCTCAGTCCTCCCACTTCTGAGGCGGAGTTCAATTTGGTCACCACTTGTAATTTTACCTCTTAATTTTAATCTAGTTTTAATATCATCATTTTTGTTTTTTTAATTTTACTTTGGTATCCTAATTTTGTTTTTTTTATTTGCAACATTTTATATTTATTATTATTATTATTATTACTCATTTATTTATTTATTTATTTTCTTTTTAACCTTTTTTCCTCTTAACATTTTGTCCTTTTTTTCTCTTTTAAAATTTTATATTTTTATTTCATTTTATTCATTTTTATTTTAATATTTATCTAATTTCATTTCATTTTTATTTCTTTTCGCTTTTAATATTTATCCTTTTTTTGTGATTTAATATTTCTTTTGACTTTTTTAAAGGAATCCAACCAATCAAAAGTAAGTCATTTGAATCAGTTTTTTTAATTTTAATTTTAATTTTAATTTTTGTAATTAAGACAACCGACAAATTAATTGGTACCGAAAGGGCAGTTCAATGGTGCTAATCCTTCCTTGACTGTAACCGACTCTCAAATCCGACACATTTCTGGTAAAAAGTATATTAGGTAAGATAATGTCCGATCAGCCTAAATATTTTTTAAATGATTGGTGGCAACTTTAAATCATTTTGTTCAAGTCGAAACCCAATTTTAAGCCCACTTGAAAGTCATCCGCGACACCAAAAAGGAATTGGCTCCTCGCCCTTCAAATCGAAAGGGGGTAAGGTCCTGTTGTTCGAAGTTCTCATGAAGTAGCATTCTTGATTTTATACACTTTTATGCCCTCTTTTCTCAAAAGATAGAGGAAGGTTCTTCTATGGTTAAGTCTCGTCAAGTTACTTTAGGGGTAGTTCCTTTTTCCTTTGGAACTTATAGTATAATGCTCGTGTTTTTATTGTTTTTGTTTGTGTTTTTTGTTGTAGAAAACCAGCAAAAGAGTCCACTTTGTGAGGAGTCTAATTCGGGAGGTTGCCGGTTTTGCTCCTTAATAGAAGAGGATAACTGAACATCTCAAGGTTGGGAAAGATAAACGTGCTTTGAAGGTAGCCAAGAGAAAGCTAGGCACTCACAAGAGGGCCAAGAAGAAGCGGGAGGAGATGTCTAGCGTCCTCCGCAAGATGAGGTACTTGGTCTAGCCGAATAAATCTTTCTCGAAATCTTGATTGGGACTGAGGTTTTATAACAAGATGCATTTCTTGTGTACTTTTACAGGTCTGCTGGAGGCGGAGAGAAGAAGTGAGTTGCATGAAAGTTGTGCTGTAAATGAGACAAGACAGATTGCGAGCTACTCGAGATCGATTCGGTCAAGTCTCGATAAATACTCTGATCGAATGGACTCGACTCGAATTCTTAACGAGCTGAAACGAGCTACTTGATACTCGACTCGAAAAGCTCGTTAGCAGCTCGAAAATATAATATATTAAGATTTTATTTTTTTAAAAAATAAATTATTAATAATATTAACATTTATGTGTTGTTTTTTTTAAAAAAAATACAATAAGGTTTTCATTTTGAGCCTTTTCGAGCTGCTCAAGAGCTTCAGTTCAGTATTTCAAGTTCAAGTCGAGCTTAAAAATTTTAAGCTCGCAAGTTTTCGAGTCGAGTCGAGCTCAGTAATACTCGACTCGGCTTGTTTACACCCCTAATCGCCTCATGTCTAGCTTAGTTTGTAGACGGTAACATTTCTTCGTTTTTAACCATTCATTCATCTTAACCATCCAAGTTAAACAAGAAATCTGATTTAGAACAAAAAGAGACAAAGAAATCTAATTTCGAACAAGAAAAGTCTAATAAATTAATGTATGATTAAATAAAGTCTTTTAGAAATTGAACTGGAAAAAAAGAGATACTTGAAATGTTATTTATCTTTTCAAATGAAAAGTGTCATATGGTGCGTTATATTTAATCAATTATTATTATTTCAATCGAAATTAATAACTAGATATAAAGGAATTGTGTACAGGGGCCTTTGATTCCGTGGATTGTTTTATGAAATCTTCCACCGAGAAATTGGATCAAAATTAATTTGGACGGTGCTAAGGATAAAGAAAATGATTTTGTGTCATGCGGTGGAACACTCCGAAAGTGTTTGGATTCGTAAATTCTCTAAGTTTAGAGGCGTTCTTCATGTGATTATGGAACGTGACAGTTTGAAAGCTATTCATATGATCAAGCAATACTAAGAAGGCTATAAACAACACACGATAGTGACACATATTTCGATTCATTTACAAAAGAATTGGAAAATAGAATTTTAACATGTTCACTGTGAAGGAAACAAAGTTACAAATCCTGATGTGGACCAATTCAACATCATAATTATCATTGCATCTCCAACCTTTCATAAAATTCAAAGGGGATTTTCTTTAACTTATCATTTTCTCTATATTACATTCATAATATATGATTTATATTTCATTTACTATGATATGGACATATTCATTTATATATGTTACATCTATAGTTAAAATAATAATATTATTTCATTATCATATGATACATAAGTTATTATTATAATCTATATGTAATATCCCAAATTTTGTATAGTGACTAAAATGTACGTTTTGAAAGTTTAGTGGCTAAAGTATAAACTTTATTTTAGCCTGTAAATGAACAGTTTCGATTAAAACTGAGATTTTAGTGGGGATTAAATTTTTGGTACGAGAATTGTGTTAAAAGCTATAAACCAGTAAAGTTCGGTATTGAAATCGGATAATCGAATCGGACCGAAATTTTACGAAAATTTGGCATGCAATTTTAAAAAATTGTATTTTAGTCACTAAAATTTCACTGTTTTGTCAAATCTGAAAAATTGCACTGTTCTTAGCCAAATTTCTCTGATCTAAAATATTAAAATAATATTTCCAACCATTTTATAACATAAGTCAAATTTTCGTAAAAATTCGGTTCGATCTCATTATCCGATTTCAATACCGAACTTTACTACTTTATAACTTTTAACACAATTCACATACCAAAAATCAGATTCCATTAAAATCTTTGTTTTAATCCAAACTGTTCAGACTAAAATATATAACTTTTAAAAATTACAATTTTGGTCCCTAAACTTTTTAAAGTTTATACTTTAGCCACTAAACATTCAAAGCTTATATTTTAGTCACTATACAAAATTTGGGGTATTACACTATACTCCACGTCTTTATATTATATGCTTATTATTTTTAATTATTTAATTTATATTATGTTTTTTATGAAGGTATATAGGCGGGCACATCTTGGGAGCTGACACAAGCTAGCAAATGGAGTCCAAAGCTATGGGAACTTGACTAGGACAACTCCGGAGAAGCTAAGGAACAAATTGGAGAAAAGTTGTCAGTTGCATCTTAAGCTCATAGTTGTGTTGAGCTGGACTTTTGAGCTAGCTAGGCTACTCAAATTAGCTGGGAAGCTGCACCAATGTCATCACCCATCAGAGTACTTCAAATATATGCAAAGTCAATTTTTCTACAATTCATGCCTTTTCGCAAAGAGGTGCTATTTCGGGACTTGACTTTTCACTAAGAGCTGTCAAAAGATTCGTCAAGTCATAAGTCACCTATGACCAGCTCACTTTCAGCTCACTCGCCCTAGAACATGCTCATTCATGAAAGGTCACATTCCAAACATTGTATCCTTTCATGAAGGTTGTTGTCCATGAAGAGTCCTTATCATATAGGTGCACGTTGGTAAAGAGTTTTCAGTCAAAGGAGGCCTAATTCACGAAGAGGCTTGAGGAAGACAAGGTGCCTATTCGGCTACACACACATGCATTGCACATGGAGAGTTTGGCGCCAAAGTGAAAAAATACAAGAATATTCGGCCAAAGGGAGGTTCATTCATCCTAGCTAAATCATCATGCCCATTTTGAAGAGTTAGTCGAACCAACACAAGGCCTAAAGACATATGCATTCATCCAATAAGTTATGTACATTCATTAAATTATGTACATTGGCCAAAACATCACTTGTTTATTCGGCCAAGACTTTCATTTCTTATAAATAGGAAGGCATTACATCATTTGTAATATCTTATCTCATATTTTAATCAAACTATTTTGTGAGTTAAATCTCTCTTCCAAGTTCTTTTAAGAACTTTATCGATTAAGCAAGTATATTTATATACTTGTGGCGTCATTCATTCCAACATGATACTTCAGATTCTTAGATTTCTATCTAGTGGGTTTAAGTCACTTTCTATCACCCCTCAATTAAGTTTATAAAGACTGAGGTTGTGCTTCTTAGCATAGTTTCTTCTTTGGCTTATTTGAGATACTATTTCAACACCATCTCCATTGCTGCCCATCATCATTAACAACCATTAAAGGCCACCATTATCATCAATCATCTTCCACAACATACTCTATTCCCATCATTAATCTTATTTCATTTCATTTCTATTTCATTAATCTTATTATCATCTCTTATGCATACTAATCTTTATTTAACTTTATTTGTTGCAGCATACTTACAATTTAGGGATAACACCTGCTGTCATTTTTTAGATCTGACACACAATAAGTCTATCTATTCCCTTCACTCTTGAAGAGTGTGGATAGGCTTACATCAGATCCTAAGACAAAACTTGCTCAACAATATAAGTTAGAATGTTCTTGGTTCAATGGATAGTACTGTTGTACGACAGCCTAATATAAGACTAACAAAAGACGTTACATGAAATATTAATATTTTTTAACATTTCCGGTAGAAAAAATAACATTTTGGGTAGCGCTCTACCAAAAATGTTAATTTCGCTACCTAAAATGAATATTTCCGATATTAGCATTTCTGGTAGAAAAAAATAATATTTTAGGTAATGTTCTACCGAAAATGTTAAAAAAATATTAACATTTCTGGTAGCGCCTTTTCTTAACCTTATATTAGGTCGTCTTTCCTTAGATATCCCTTCAATAACCCAACAAATACGTTATGGTCTCTATTGTAGGAAGAGAGTGTAGTTGCTCATCTTCCTAAATCCTCCATTTAGATTTCTCTCTCTTGTTTATCAAAGATGATTAATTAAACTTTGAAGGTTAACTCGGTAAAATAAAAAAATAATTTAAAGAATAAATTATTTATCAGACCTTTATAACTATATAGACAAAATTTTCATTTTGACTTAATTTTATATATAAAAAATTTGAATTTGATTTAGTGATATATGTTTCTTTAATAAAATTATAAATATAATACGAGTGAGTTTAGAATGAACGACGCACATCGCTGATCACCACTAACGTAATATACCATTGAATATCATAAATTTTTAATGACTTTTAAATCATTATTAAAAATCTCAAAGGTTTAACATGCAATTAATCATATTTCAAAATAATATCAAAAGAAAGTATTCCATAAACTATTCTCACCCCCTCATCTATTATCCTATTTAATTAAATAAAATTATATCATCTTTATTTTTCATATAATATTTTCTTATAAATTATAATTTATAATTCATCATTTTCTACTTCATACCTTATATATTTATTCTAACATGTTAATGAATGAAATCGTTAAAACGAAAAAAAGACACTCAAAAAACTTAACTCACGAATCAAAAGAGGCAAAAATAATAGTAGTAGTAGTAATAATAATAATAATAATAATAATAATAATAATAATAATAATAATAATAATAATAATAATAATAATAATAATAATAATAATAATAATAATAATAGTAATAATAATAATAATAATAATAATAATAATAATAATAGTAATAATAATAATTCTACTACGTTAAAAAACGATTAACATATTCGTTTGAACCCTAGAAACTGATAAAACCATGGAAGCAGCTGGCTACCAAGACGAGGCCTATCCTCCATCGAAGCCGTTAAACTTATATAATTATAATTCTAATCGTTTGGATTTTTTTTATTTTAGTGATTTTATTCATTAACATATTAGAATTAGTATATAAGGTATGAGGAAGAAGATGATGATTTGTAAATCTTAATTTATAAGGAAATATTATGCGGAAAATAAAGTTGATGTGATTTTATTATGTGATAAGAATTGTTCATGAAATAATTTCTTTTAATTTTATTTTGAAATATGATTAATTGCATGCAGGGCCTTTGAGATTTTCAATAATTATTTAAATGTTATTAAAATTAATGATGTTCAACGGTGTGTTACATCAATAATAGTTTATGAGAAGTAAATAAACTAAAATTTTATACGAAAATTAAAATTAAATTTTATATTACAATTGATGAACATTCATGATTTATCCCAATTGAAAACAAGCATATCTTACAACATAATATATCTGAGGAAACAAAGCAGACCTAGAAGAGCACGCCTAACAAAACTCCCAAACGAACCCGACATCAATCAAACAAAAACCAAAAGAAATAAGATCATCCTCAACCCTAAACAAGCTGCAGGGGAATAAAATAATGATAATAACAATAATATTTGATTTTGAAAGGGTGCAATTCTTGGAAAAACAGGTAATATTTGTTTTGACATATTGAAATACTACACTTGATTTTAGCCAAAAGGCTGATAAATGTATATATAAATCCCACAATAGTTGTCTAAAGTGACGATACTAACAGCAGGAAGTAGAAGATGAACATTCATATTGCTTCAACTATCTTCCTTCTCATCATCATAAATCTGTTTATTCCTCAAGTAGACGCTTGTGCTTGCCTTTCCAGTGGCGAGGCCAAGCTCCTCCTCCAGGAAAATGCAACGAGGTGAACAGCTCTGCCAGCTGCGCCGCGGGTCAGGCTTATGACCTTTACGATTGTTCGTCCCCAGTTTCACGCCATACAAAGGCAAACCTGACTCTTCAAAGCTTCGATCATGCGGGGGATGAAGGTCAGCCAGCTGAATGCGATCTTAAGTACCATGACGACGATGAGCTCATAGTGGCGCTTTCGACTGGGTGGTTCGATCACAAAGGGAGATGTTCTAAGTTCATCAACATCCGTGACAGTGGAAGGCGTGTTAGAGCAAAGGTTGTGGATGAATGTGTGTCCAGCGGGGGTTGTGATGATGCTCATGATTACGAGCCACCTTGTGGTAACACCATCGTTCGTGCCTCCAAAGCTGTTTGGAGTGCTCTGGGAGTCCCCGATACTCAATGGAACAGATTGGATATACATTGGTCTGATGCATACCATATTTATGTCGGTGTGCATCATCTGTATCATGCTGATTGACAAGGCTTTGGTGTGTCCATAAGGTGACATTTTGTATGTTAAGCAGAAATCAATTACTATTTATGTTTGAAAAGTATTAGTCACTCTAATAATGAAAGAGAATATTCTTTTTTTAAGATTTCGGATTTGAGTAGTTGCGTTTACGGAGTGTGTGTTATCAACCATTAAGAAAGATTCTGAACATATATTATCTTATAATCATCCCAAAATATTTAAAAAAGTATTTAATTATGTCTCTCAAATTTAAAGAAAATCTCATAAATCCTCCCGATAATAATAATACCATCTATATTTTCTATGATGCATTTCCTATTTATTTTATTCATTTCCTCTATTTATAATTATAAAATAGAAGACTAATTACTTGAAAATTTATATTTAACTTATAAAATCGTGTCATTATGGGAACCACTAGAAGTTAAAATTTATATTTAATTCAAGTCAAATATTTATGTAATTCAGATAAAAATCTTACACATGCAAAACCAGTCTAAGCTAATTGCAACCACTCTCTCGTACAATTACAAATACCATACTCTCGTCAAATATTTAATTGCAAACTGTTAAAAGAATTTACAAAAGCTCAAAGCAGTGTAAAAGAATTAGCAATTTTATCACCTTCAGCACTCTCTCTGCTTTTGCCTTCTCATTGTCTTATTTCTTCTTTCTTTTTCCCTTCCCTTTAAGAGAAGATCCTGTCAGTGACAGATCTATATGTAATTGAGGGAGGATACATGTTTACTCTGATGATAGAAGAAAGTTTCAAGTTTTTTCCCTTAGTAATCAAACAGAAGAAAGTTAACCTAATTTATCCTTCCAATCCCAGCATTGAAGTTTGAACAGCCTCATGTTATACCTAAACCCAAAATCACATACCCCTAGTCATGAAGTTTAATTTTTTAATTTAATCATTTAACTTTCAAATTGTTTCAATTTTAATCATTCTAATTTATTTTATTAATTTTTTTTGTGTATATAAAAATTTTATTAATATATAATTAAATAAAAAATAAATTTAAAACTATACCCAAATCCAAAATCACAAACTCCTCATATATTAATAGAATAAGTTTAAGTGATTAAAATATGAGTAATTTGAAAGTTAAGAGATTAAGTTTAAAAAAATTAAACTTTAGTGACCAAAATAGAAGTGAGAAGATAGTTGAGTGATGAATGAAGTAATTTACCCATTAAAAATTAGCGTAACAATTCCTTTAAATTTTTAACGGCGAGGTACCAAAATAAAACCTAAACTAAACGTTAAGTATGATTTTGAAAAAAATACCAAAACAAAACAAAAGTATAGTTTAAATACTAAAAAAGTAATTATGAGACTACACCACCCACACAACTACATTTGATTTGCTTCAAACTAACCCCTCAAGAAAAAAGATTTGCTTCAAAATAAAATTTGTACAATATTTGTTCACTGATATTGAACTAGACACGAGGCAAACTTCAGTGACCAATATTGAAAACAAAGTTTAAATATTTATTCACTATTGGGATATTGAACTAGACACAAGACAACTTCATTTGATTTGCTTCAAAATAAAAACTATACAATATTTATTCACTATTGGGATATTGAACTAGACACAAGACAACTTCAGTGACCAATATTGAAAATAAAATCTAAGTATCAAAACAGAACAAAAAAAATAATTCAAATATTAAACATATAGTTTATTCATAAAAAATGTTTAGGCCCGGGTTCAAACCGGGGGACCTCTAGTGTGTGAGACTAGCATGATAACCAACTACAACACCAGGACAACTGCATTTGATTTGCTTCAAAATAAAATTTATACAATATTTGTTCACTACCTAGATATATATTGAACTAGACACAAGTCGACTTTAGTGATCAATGTTGAAAATAAAATTTAAGTATCAAAACGGAACAAAAGTAATAATTTAAATATTAAACATGTAGTTTATCCATAAATAAATGTCTAGGTCTGGATTTGGACCAGAGACCTCGAGTGTTTTAGACCAGTATGATAACCAACTGCACCACCCAGACAACTACATTTGATTTGCTTTAAAATAACAACTGTGATCAAATATAAGGTGTGGAAATAAGAATACAAATATAAGATACAACGATAAATTAAACTCTAGGTCATTCAAATATTGGTAAAATTATAAATATTCATTACAATTTAAAGTTATAAAAGGATCACCTAATTCATCAATTATTATAAATATGTCACATTGTCATTAAATTTATAACATATGTCGACTTTTTAATTACAATTGAGTAACACGATTGTAATCAATTAGCCGATATTTTCTTATAATATCAATTTATTCAGTTAAGTCACATATAATCAATTTAGTTAATATTTTCTTATCACTTTATCGTTTTTACATGCAATATCAAATATGAAGAAAATACGCACAACAAAATTCATAGATTTCAATTCAAATGATTCAAGAATTACATAAATTACTTCAGTTATGGTATAAAACTTCAACATCTTACATTATTTACGCTTTACTTTTTACTAGAGAGATTCTTAACGCTCTAGATTGTTTTCAACCTCCATTCAAGTCACTATATTTGAGTATTTCTTTATGTTGATTGATGGTTGTGTTTACTGTTTATTCACTTGTTGATTTTTTTTTTGAAAGAGGGTACTTTGTATTATAGACAAATGCAAAGTACACCACCTCAAGGCCATCGTTAAAAAATCTCCCTAGTCCTAAATGGAGGAAAAAGAGTGAACCAAGAGGTAGAAGAGAACATATATAAGGATAGCACAGTGCAACAAACAATACATACCCCTAACCACAACAAAACTCACACTGACAACCATTGACAAAGAAAAACATACTCCACTGCCCCATAACGCATTGTCTGGGAATCAACATCCAAACGCTCCATGCTATCATCAACACCCTTTTTCAACAGTCCAACAATGGGCACACACGGCACAACAAGCACTTTATCTTCTAGAGAATCACACAAATCCACCTCAGAGCCCACGTGCGCCCTAGTAGATGCCTCCAAAGCAATAAACGAGCCACTCCTCTGACAACGAAAACATGCGCAGCTACCCCATAACACACTATCTGGGGAACTAAATCGTGAGTCCATAACTCATCAAAACGAAGACTTTCACCTGCTTCCTCCGCAACTGAACACTCCGGTCCACATCCAACAATCACACACACAAGAACGGACAGTGGACAACATCTATAAACAACACCAAAGAACAAAAAGCTAGCCAATGCAAACACAAGACGACTACAGAAACGACACACGCTCAAACTCGGTAGATCACCAAAGCACAAGAACAACACCACCCACCATAGCACATGCCACTGGGTAACCACACCCACCAAACATGAAACAACGAAATGAATTAATACACCAGAAAACAGCTTGTCGACCAAAAATACTCAGCCACAGCAAAACAGACTAACAATAAAAATAACCTACTAAAAACCTTACACTAAAAAACTATTTCTAAAACTACTCCAGCTCCTCTAAACAATCACGACAAACATCCTCAAGACCAAAACCTAAAGCCTCCACAACCCCTCACAAACACGCACCACACTCGTACTCGACTCCTATTCTCTGAAATAAACACAATCAGAACCTCACCTTTGTAACCCACTTTCTGCCATAAAACTTACCAAATAAGAGTATTTGAAGGAATAACCACACACAACGAAACAGATTCTGACGAAAGACCTGAAACACTCTCCCACATGTTGTAATATATCAAGCAAGCAAAAGGAGGTTCACTGTGACATTTACACAAACCACTTGCATGCAGAAAACTCTAACGTGCTCTAACTCCAGGAGCTGACTAGTACCAAGCAAGAAGAGAACACCCAAAACATCCGAGTAGCAATTTTGGGGACGGAAGCCAAACGAACCCTACTCCCCAACAAATACCCGGGTTGGGCCGACCAATCCCATATTCAAAGAACAAAAAGAGATTCAGTGACACTGTGTTGGCCTTTAGAGGTCTTGAGAGAAACGGTCAGAGGATTCGAAGGTGAAATAGGATTTGATCACGATTAATGAGAGTCGGGGATTCATCCACCCATTATGCACATTCTTCAACCTACGTGATAGATGAGTTGAGTGACATCCTATTTACCTTGAGCATTCGAATCAATTTTTTTTAACATAACAACACCTATTTGATCTTTGATTAATGATCAAAATAATTATTGATAAATTCATCATCTATTTAATACGTAAATAATTAGATATTGATATTAAATTTTAATTGATAATTAAAAGAGACAATTCTAAATCGTGGACATAAATTTTAAAATATACATATCACTCGTGTTTCCTTATCTAAAGGGTAACATAATGCTAGGAGTGCCCCATATTAAGACAATTGATAAAAGAAGCAGAGTCCCTATTAAAAGTTCCACAGGTTGTATATATATATATATAACAAAACAAAGTGGGTTCAATGGCGGCATCACCTTAGTAGGCAATATAACCTTACCATATAGTTCTTTTGGGCCTAAAATTAGCTTCAACATTCAAGCAATAAAGTGCAAAATATTTATACAAAACATATGGTTGATATTTCGCTCAACATTGTGGCTAAGTAGTATCGTCTTCCAAGAAGCTCATGTCATTGTTAATGGGAAAATCCAACAGCAATTGCAGCGCAGTGTCGGATGAATCTTCGGACTCGTTTGAAAACGAAGAGAAAGATGCATCAATGGGATCCTCAATTTGATTTCTTGCTGTGGTTGAAGTACTCGAAGACCCTGCCATGTTGGGATAAACATCGATGGTGACACCCGAAACCGATCCGCATTTCGTCGATGAAGATGCTTGTGAAATCGGGCTCCGGCAATCGGTTTTAGCTTCTCCGTTCATGTTCCGAAATGATTCTCCGACTTCGGAGTTCCATAAGCGTAGGAAATAGTCAGGGCCAGGTTTCACCAATGGAGGTGGTGAGTTGAAGAAGAGTAACCCCTTGGAAAGACGAGCCTCGGCTTCGAGCCTAGCA